AGCAGACTCTGTTTATGCAGATGCTATGGTGTGTTGAAAAACCACCAAGTTCATGTTATCCTGTATAATATTGTTGTGAAACATTTCAAGTATAAATTAGATGAGACATAACATAGTGACCTAAATTTCCTCACATGATTTAAACAAGCTCGTGGGTTGTTTTTTTTCTGTTCATAATTTCTTACAATAAAAAGTTGTTTTTGTATCTCCCTTGGAAACAAATTTCTATTAAATCAAACATATTATGAGTAATACCACAGCAACAGGACAGACATTAAAAAGTTCAAACCCTTTAAAAGCATGTAAAAGCATGATATGCATCAGTTTTAATTTTCCATTTTAAAGTGTGTAAAGTCTTGTAGTTTGTAGAAATCTGCTTACATATTTTTCAAGCATGCTCTTCATCAACATACTAATTCACAATTAAGGAAAAAAACTTCAAACTCTTTCTTCATTAAAAAAGATGGACAAAATCGTTCAACTTGCAATAATTCCATTTTCTAGCTGCTTGCATGAACTGAGTACACTCCAGGAGTCAAATGAAAAATCAAACAAACATCAAATTAATATGAATCTTCACTCTCAATATTTACTGATCACTGATCATCATCATTATCATCATTTGTGCAACCCATCCTCAAGTGCATACAATACCCCCCCCCCCCCCAAAAAAAAAAAAAAAGAAAAAAAACAACAACAAAACAAACAAACAACAAACAACAAAAAACAACCAACCAACAAACAAACAATTTTTTTCAAACAATCACACAATCTTTTGGATTATTTTTCTAAAGAATCTACATGTAACAATAACAACCAGATAACCATATACTTATAACTAATTATCAGTCTTCTGCACCTAATCAGGACACAGGACAAAATGCCCTTTTATCAAAATAAGCAAATAAAGACTTCAAACTCATCTGTGAAAAACAAATAATTCGACACAGAGAAATTGAAATTTTTCAGACATAAGGCGGACATCTTTGTTTCCCAAAAGGTCAAATTGAGCTTGACTAAAGCTGTAAGATTGTGCAAAGAACTGTTAAAACTACTGAAAACTCCGGGAAACAAAACGATTCACACCTTGTCTTGCAGCATGGCGGAGGCACATCGTTGTATCATATGAAAAAAAGTAGGTTTTTTTCAAGAAAAATGTATAACAGTTATATAAATATAAATGCATTTTCCATCATCAGCGGTTACCTTCAAAGCTTCTGGTGGCGCCATTATGTGTTATTTCGAAGGGATCACACTAGTTTCAGTACAGGAATATATTATGACCGCTGTGTCCTGCAAGTCTTTTCTTTTGATGATGATCCTTTATCAACGTTCTTGACGAAATAATGCATCGATATGTTGTTGTCCCTAATATTACGAATGTTTTGCACACCTCACTCACATCTAGTGCTATGCCAGGCCGTTTTAAACAAAATGCAATGAAACCTCTTTTAGAAAATAAAAATCAGGTCTTGACTTGACCAGGAAAATTTGAACAATTTATGGTTTTACATTTATTTATTAAACCTCTTGAACAAACTCCCACTGAAGTAAATTTTAAGCCATTGAGACTCCCACATGCATCCAAAAAGAAAAAAAAAATTGGATTGACTTATTGACTAGCAATGCAAAAGGTTCATGATGACAAAAGTGATGTCCTGTCTTTCGCTTGTATAAAAAACAGCCTCAAAAAGTTGCCATTATCTTCACTAGAACTAGAAATCAAAATAAACAAAAATTTTAATATATATATGGGTGATTTTACACTCCCATTGACACAATGTAGATCACTTTGAAGGCTCTGACCTTGCCTGTTAGCGCCAACCGGAGCTGAGAGGGATACAGCATCCCAGCAGAAAGACAGAGATACTTGATAAAAATTCTCCTCACTCAAGAATCGAACTCAGGTTTCTTGCTTGAGACAACAAAGCACCTAACTGTTACACCACAGATGTAAGTGAAATCAAAACCCAAGTGTATAGCCACAAGCATAAATGCAATACAATATAAGAAATCTGGGAGTGGTTCTAGATAATGATATGGCGTCCTTCATAAGCGTGCTATGTAAGACCCTTGAGTACTCTCAGAAAAGAAGAATTCGTATCATAAGGAATTATTTTTCAGAAAATAACAATTAAACTTGCTACATCTAACCCTTCACCTGGAATAGAAGGACGTCCTTTCTTGCTGACTTACCCATCTCAACTAAAAAATGAAAGGGACCAAGTAACCCCTCTTTTAAAACAATAGCACGGGTTACTGGAGAAAGACCACTATATAGTTATTGAGAGTTATTTGCTCAGAAAACATAAACAACCAACACCAGCATATTTGATCAACAACAAAAAAACTTCTACAAAGGTAAAGTAAATACGGATTGTGCTACCTCCTGATAAGAGCCCTTAGGTCATATCAGACAAGGCAGTCCACAACCATCAACTTATTCTAAATAGCATGAGCAACTGTTTTTAAATTACAACAGTCCATAGGTTTGAAATGAAATGCAAAAGGTTTTAACTCAAAGAACAGCGGGCTCTTGACAAATTTTGTAAAGGTAGTAAAAACATTATCAATTTTATCACTTTCACACTCAAAGTATTATTATTAATATTATTATTATTATTATTAAATTATTATATAAAAACATAGTACAATCAGGCACAGATAACAAGAACAGGCAAAATTTGAAATCATGGATAGCTCATACAATATGCCATTCCCAAAAAAGAAGCGCTTTATTTTCTTTTTATTAGCAATACAATGTACTGTTCTCTCACACACCTGTATGGATTTGTCAAATAGCTCGAGAAGAAAAACACGACTACATATAAATTAGTCCTCCCAATTGTTTTGAATTCAAATCAGTCTGCTCACTGTTGGAATATAACATGCCCATCGTTATTGAGAGTATCAGGTGACATGATTTCGCCAGGCCCACCCTTGCCGAATGTGCTACACGCGCTGATATCGAGACGCATCGTCTTCCATTACCTGTTGGCTAGGGTGCATAATGATGTGTAAGGCACTAGAACTTCCTTGAATCTAGTCATTTGAGGGTGGGTGGTGGGTGATGGGGGGTGATCGAAGACAGACAGTTTGGTGCCACATTGAGCCACACGGTATGTGAGAGATTTGGTATTCCTAAATCATCACTGTCCATGTTTCTAAAACATTGCGATCAATTAAAAAATGACAGCATTGGATGTCAGCCTGACAGAATGAGAAAGCGAGCATGCTTTACCAAATAAAAAACCATCCAGCTGGCATTGTTTTTATGGTTTCAGCAAGCATGTGCCATGTCTCTTTCTATCTCTGGTGCCATCCTGATGACAAAAGAAGACTAACCATCTTACCATCTAGTAAAAGGCTACTGTTAGAAAAAACATCAATGTGTATCGCTTTTTCGAGTATGTATCTATATTATAACTCTGGAGGTCTTGTTATTAAATTCTTGCATGTGGTTAAATGATGCATCTGGTGTGATCTGTACATTTTCTCAGCTTTACTTTTCTTTTCATACTGAATTTTAAAGAGAGTAATATATAATTTAATTTTCATGTATACCAGCATATGCTTTTACGGTCCTTTACAGCCAAGAAAAATTTCCCTCTGGGACAATAAAGTATAATCTTATCTCATCTTATCTTATCTTAGACAAAATTGCAAAGAAACTTGACCTTGACTTCACATGCAACACAGGAAGGTTGGACTACAGTCAAACTCGGATATAACAGGACAGATGGGACCGGCAGTTTTTCCCCGTTATAAGCAAGTCCTGTTATAATCGTTATCTTGGGAAACTACCAGTACCATTGCACCTTCAACTTATTCTATATATTCGATTATCGCAGATCCTTTTCCAGTGGGCAGTTTTGCTGACACTGAGACGGAATTGATCAGTGGTCAGTGACCCCAACACTATGGGGAGGGGGGGGTAAGTGTTTGAAAGTTTCTGCTCGGACAAGCGATCATACAAACAGGTGAAATGTCTTGCTTGAGACACATTTTAATAATTTGATGTAACGAAAGCAAGTTCATGCGCTGCAAGATTACTGTTATATCCGAGTCTGCGCAAATTGAACTCTGTTATAGCCAGTTTCATATTACCGGGTACTTACACTTAGAGAGGAAAAAAAAAATGAGGATTTGATTTATCACTGTTATATATCCAAGTTCCTGTTATAACAGAGGCTGTTATGAATGGACGGGACTGTACTTCAAAAACAAACATGGCATCACTCACAAAGCTGTATCAAAGATAGTGAATAACAAGATGGGCCACTCAGCCAAAAAAGTGTCCGCAGAAAGTATGCTCTTTGCTTCAGATGGCGCTGCAGTCTGTTTTGAAGCTCTCTTTCGTTTTTCCAGAAGAAGAATAGGAATAGCACCTCCTTGCGTGCGCAGATCGACTGCTGTTCATCAGCAGTTCGGGTACGTTCAGTGCGGAGTTTTAGTTTTTAAAAAATTTTAATGACCTCTCGCCTTTCATTCTAAAGTCAAATTAAACGAAGAAAACCATCACCCTTTCCTCCGGAAGAGGTTTTTTGTCAGCGTAACCATTTTAAAAAAGCGTTCTTCCGAAATTTATCCCAAAACCTGCTAGTTTCACTTTGATTTTTTAAAACTCAAGTAGGGTAACTCTGTTCGCAAAGAGTGCGCTTTTGTGAAGAGGGCGCCACCAAATTTTGAGGACACTTTTTTAATTGGCTCAAAGAGAGAAGTGGCCCATCTTGTTATGTACTATCATTGGCTGTATGCAATGAATGCATCACAGTGATTTATTTTCTGACCATTGCATCATCACAGCTACTATCCTTGATTTTCTTCAATATCCCTCTCATTCTTTGTTTAGTTTGTGTACCTGAACTATGGAAGTGTTTTGTTCATCTGAAGTTATGTTGATACCTTGTATTTTTGAAGTATCACTCTTTTTTGAAGAAAAAGGCTATAGGGTCCGGAGATGAAAGAGGAAAAATGGTTTGTGTGTGTGTGTGTGTGTGTGAGTGTGTGTGTGTGTGTGTGTGTGTGTGTGTGTGTGTGTGTGTGAGTGTGTGTGTGAGTGTGTGTGTATTTGCTTTTACTTGTATGCAGGAATGTGAATCTGAAACATTCACCACTGTTGCACATGACCAGAATTTCTCATTGTGAGATCAATAAAACATATTATAGTCAAGTCGATTTCCTAGTAAGGGTACTTGTGCATCACCGGTTTAAGTCTTATCTATTATTCTCACCCTCTCAAATGACTATTATGAAACCGGGATAAGTTGCACATTCCCATATCTTCCCACTCTAGAGACACCTCTTTCAAAGATAACAGTATCAAAATAAAGCCAAACTTCCCATTTTTCCTGCTGGTTGAAAGAATTTCTTGACTGTCCACTGTGTCAAGATCACAAGCTAAAATCAACGTCTTCAAAAGCTCTGGCAATATTCTCAGCAACGTCTCTCGCCTGCACGCCAACCATATTGATAAACACAGCTACCACCACACCCTGAGGAGCTTGGTTTGAAGCCAGTCCTGAAACGTTCATAGGATGTGAGCTTTCATTAGACTCTGATATACTGCGCCTTTTGTTCCGACCTGCTGCCTCAATAACGGCTGAAGAACTTGATCCAGCGGATTCCTCGTCCACGTATCTGCTTCTCATGCTCTGATAGGGAAGAGACCTTGGGAGGATAAACAGGGCACTGCTAGCTCCGACAGCAGCTCCTGGGAATAGACAAGGTATTGACTTGAGTTGGGTTGAGTGGAATTAATAGTAATAATAATATTAATAATAATAATAATGATAGTAATAATAACTATTATTATTAGATCTACTATTATTATCATAATAATAATAATAATAACAATAATACCGTAATAATAATAACAACAATAAAACAATAATATTATAATAATGATAATACAACAATAAAACAATATAATAATAATAATAATAATAATAATAATCATCATCATCATCATAATTGCATTTATAGAGCGCATGTCCACACTATACAGCATGCTCTGTGCACTTTACAGCAACTATTACCCCAGCAATTCCAGATCATGGCTCAGACACATTGTCTACTTCCCAGGAAAAGTACAGTGCAAACTGCGGAATACACACGCTAAAACACAAAAAAACTGACAAAATCTTTCACAGTCTGTAGCCGGGTACCCATGTCCACCTGTGTGACATGAAGAAAGTTTGTGTACAGTTCCTTTATTAGGGACTCAAACTCTTAACTCCTGTTAAGAAATAGAAGGAGCAGGTAACATAACAGTACTCTCCTATCACTTTCAAAAAATCAAGAAAGAACTAATGGAATTTGATACATCACTCAATGAAAATTATGTCCCTATAGCGTTAATGCACAAAAGACTAGACAATGTCGAAGTCACTAATGTAGAGTTAATGCACATATGGCCGCTTTTAAGCACAAGGGGGCTATCCCGAAAAATGCTGTTTTGAGAAAATCAAAGGTAGAGTTTTTGCCCCTTGTTCAGTCTCTTTAAAAAATACAAGGAGAATTTTGTCAATAACCAAACAAATATCCACATCAATGAAACCAAACTTCTTCTATAGGTAGGGCAATGCCCACTTTTGGTGCAGGTCAAGATTTCAGGAAACCCCTGAAATCTGGGTTAGCCCGCTTGCCCTTAAAAGCGACCATACATAAGACAATATCACGTCAAAGTCACCAACGTAGAGTTATTGCACACAACACAAGAAAGCAACTACAACAAATACGGTTAAGACTTGCATCTCACACACACATCAGTTCCCTCACACACAGAACACACATTCATACTTCAGTGTAGTGGATCAGAGCTGTAACTGTACGTTGTTTATATATATATATATCTGCTCTCTACTCAGGACTTTATCAGACTGACTCTTTTCCCTGTGTGCAACTTGTCAACAGTCAACAGTTCCAGAAGGAAAAAAGACACTTAAACACTTAAACAGTCGTGAGGAATGTGAGAGCTCACCACACTCTTAGTAAACACAATATATTTTGTTCAAAACAGCTTTGACTTGTCAGTCTATACGGTTTCTTTTTATTTAAACAAAAAAAGATTAAGAAATATTAAGAAAAGTATGTAAGAATAAAACAGAAGAAAGAAAAACTTATAAAAATACTAAATTATTATACAGAAAAAAAAGGGTACTGAGAATCAAAAACAAACCGTACGTGATAAAAACAGTATTTCATGTTTTCTAATAGAAAAAGAAAGATCTAGTTGAAGTCCAAATCTTCTTCAGTAAGAAATAAATAGCCTTATAGATAATAAGAGAAAAACTAAAGCATCTCAGTTTGAGGAATCCACCCCACTTTCAAATAAGCGTTATAAGCTTGCCGAACACAACCCTGTACAGTCGAACCTGAGTAAGACGGAATCGCAAGGGAGCCATAAAAAAATTTCGTCTTAGACAGGGAATTTTTTTGGGGAGATGGAGGGGGAGGAGGGGGGTTCAAAGGCCCAGCCGGTGGGATCTAGAGTCACTTGTCCGGTTGGCAAGCAATCACAAGTGGTCAAAACTTCACACGTATCAGCTGTGCTATCCTCCCTGATAATGACATGCGTCAGTCTTATATTATTTATCCAATTAATACCAGCGTTTACATTTCATAGAATCACTGTTTGACCTATTAAAAACTGAAACATTTGAACATCTCCTTTGCTTCCACCCTTAGCCACACCCATCAGTGTATCAAGCACAGTCAACCAATGCCACCCCTCACTGCCTTGTAACAATGATTCGAGGAACTCTTTTCTCAACTGGGCTGTACGATCAGGATGGCAGGCATTGGTCAAACTAATTTCACACCTCTGGCCAAAAAAGAAAGTTTCCGTGCTAGAGCGCCACTCGAACACTTTCACTGGCACTCGTGAGAATTCACACCCACACCACACTGACCATCTTCATCCCTCAGGGTTCACATGGATGGAGTAACATCAAGGAGGTTAAACAATAAGGTCCATGAGTAACATCTACCCTAAAATTGCACCCTTACTCCAATTCCTCGCCTGGCAGTAGTTTAGAGCCAGTAGACGGTACCAAACTTGCGAGTTTCATTTCAAATCAGGACTGAACGGGCACAGTATTTTCCGCCTTGCACAGGAAATACCCTCAGAAAAGAGTGGATTTTTCTTTCCGTTTCCACGCTGGACAGGTTTTCGTTTTACACAGGTAATTAAAGAGGAATATATCAAGGGGGGAGCGGGGAGATTCCGTTAAGACAGGTTTCCGTTTTACAAAGGTTTCCGTTAAGGCAGGTTCGACTGTATGTACTTGGTATTGATGGAAAGAGTTCCCGTGGACTCACCGGTGTGACCCACGCCAAAACCATGTCGCTCACATGCTCCAAAATGTTCCCTCGCTGGGGACAGCTCAAAGCCCAAGGCGTAGCGAGCCATGCGTCCCTTTTTTCCAGCTGGCTGCCAGAACTTCTCAACTGTTGATGACTTCAGGAAACCTCGAGGTCCAAGATCTGTCAGAGAGAATTACTAATAACAATTATAATAATAATTATAATAATAATATCAACAGCAACAACAACAACCACAGCAATAATAATAATAATAATAATAATAATAATAATAATAATAATAATAATAATAATAATAATAACAATAACAACAACAACATACAACAACAACAATAATAATAATAATAATAATAATAATAATAATAATAATAATAATAATAAAAATGATAATAGACAGCATTTGCAATTTTGCTCAACTGCAGGCTGTGTGCTTTACAATCTAAAAATATATTGTTACCCCAACAGACCTGATAGTATTCTGAAACAATCTCAACTTCATGGGAAGCATACGGAGCAAGCTCCCATTTTATAAGCACTAGAACACTAACATGCAGACAAAATCTCTTGCTGTTTATGGCCAGGTCCACATTCCCACCAGGGTGAAGTGAGGAAAATTTGTGTAAAGTGCCTTTCCCAAGGACACAACGTCGGGCCTGAGGCTCGAACCTACGAACTGGCAACCTCACAATTGCGAGTCCAGTAGCCTAACCACTAAACTACTGGCCACATAATCCTTGTCAACATTGTTAATGCCTTGCCCTATTAGAAATAAGTTTTTCATAAAACGATAACAAAGTGAACAAAAGCCATGGTATTGAAGAAAGATGTATGATAGCTCGTAAATGTTTCACACCATCCACAAAATTTAAAACAAACAAAGAAACACTTTACTTTCCAAAATTCCTCTCAAAAAAACTTCTATAATGTATTCATTGATGGACCGTTGATGACAACATGAGTGGGTGGTTGGCGGGTGCTCTGGTGTGGTTTGCTTCTTTTTTCCTATGAAACATTTATCGTCTTTATCTCCCCTCCTTTTTTTTTTTTGGTTTCTTACTCTCTTGTAACACCCCTAATCTTCAGCATTTATATAACCTTATTGTGTTGCAAGTGTCATAACACACTTACCAAAATGAAAAAAAAATGACAACACGATACAGGACTCACCCGTGTCGCGGTGCTGCGCAGAATACAGCAGGACATTTCCAAACTTGACCACATCCTCCGTGGTGGAGAGCAGGCCGCCGCCCGCCCACTTGTACGACAGGTCAACGTACGGGGTGTTGATCACTTGTCCCTTAGAGTTCTTCATGTAATACCTGACAAGTTAAATAAATTACAGGATAGGGTGCACAGACATATTGCTACCTCAGAATTACACAATTTTATTTGCTCAATACCTAGCTTTGCAAAATTTGACATCCAAATTTTTTAGTTCTACAATATGCCAAGCTTTTTTTAATGCAATTCTTTAAATATCTTAATAAGGACTCCTAACTTCTTTACAATTCTGATAAAGAGCAGATAGAGCATTTGCTTTCCTACCTCATGGTCTTACTACTCAAAGCAGCCAAAAATGTCAGATAGAACTTTGTAATTCTGAGGTAGCCACATGGCACATGAGCAAGACCAAAAGGTTTTTACTTAGTTCTTCCTCTTGTATGCATTACTCAATGTCGAGAGAGGAACTGATTTTGGTCAAGGGCTAGGTGGCTGCTTCTATAAAAAAATGTTAAAGACCCCTCTAAGGCTATCCAGCCAATTTTCCTTCGTCTTATCCTCCCTTCATAGCGTAGCCTGCTTTTCCTGTGTCATGAGTTCATGCATCTGGTTGATTGGAGGCATCCTCATCAGGTGACTGAACCGCATAAATCTTCGGATGTTCATTATGCTCAATTACTATTTTCTCTTTGGTTAACAGTTTCATTCCTTATGCAGTCTTTCTTTGTGACATTGACTTATTTTCTGAGGCATTTCATCTCGCAGGGAGTGATCTTCCTTCTTCTTTTTTTTTCTAAACATGTGACTACGGCACCACAAAACACAGTAATGACAATAATTATGTCCCATAACACAGAGCAAATAGCGATCATGCATTTGCAAAAACGGCATAGCCAGATAGATTATTCCCTGAACAAAATCCACTTACACAACCCCTAATGTGCTCAATGTGTGACCATCTCTCTCTGTGAAAAAGGAGATCATCATCTTTTTCTCTCTGTTAGTTCAGTAAGTGTTTTACGGCACTTGCAACACACTAGGATCATATAAGTGCCGGAGATTAGAGGTGATACGAGGGAGTAATAAGCACAAAAAGGAAGGAAGAGAGGTAAGGACGATAGATGTTTGATAGGAAAGAAGGAGCAAACCACACCAGAGCACCCGCTAACCATCCATTATCTCCTTTTACAATGACCAGCGGTAGATGATGTCAGAGCTACTGTTGTCTCTATCACACTATGTGGCGTCCGTGTGTGTGTGTGTATGTGTGTGTGTGTGCGGGTGTGCGGGTGTGTGAGTATGTGTGTGAGTGTGAGTTTGGGTGTGTGTGTGTGCGTGTGAGTGTGAGTATGAGTGAGTATATGAGTGTGTGTGTGTGAGTATGTGTGTGGAATATGTGAGTGCGTATGTGTGTGTATGTGTGTGAGTGTGAGTGTGTCTGTGAGTGTGTGTGGGTGTGTGTGTGTGTGTGTGTGTGTGTGTGTGTGTGTGTGTTCGGTAGTCTAGTGGACAGGCTACTGGACCCATAATTGTGAGATTGCGAGTTTGGGGGTTGGAGGCTCAGCTCTGTCCAATGGTGTGTCCTTGGGAAATGCACTTGTAACAAATTTCCCATTTGAACCAGTCTCATTGGAGATGGAAGTTAAATTTAGAGCTCACGCCCCTTAAATAACCTTACATTGTTGCAAGGAGAATTTAAATGTATACAACAATTTCCCACATTTTCGTCTTTCTATCACTCTCTGAGACCTGAACAATTTATACTAATAGACTTGATACGACAAATATCGGAGAGGTGTATACTTTTGCTTACTTTGCTCTGTTGTAAATGATAGGATCGTTCTCGTCTAGGTAAGTCTCCTTCAAACCCAGACGTTGCAGGGTTCGGATCATGGCGGTAGGGAAAGGGGTGTCCATCACAGACTCAACTACAGCAGACAGCACTGTGTAGCCAAATGTGGTGTACAGAAATCGGGAGCCTGGAAAAAAACAGAACTTATATAATAGTAATAGATCTAATAATAATAATAATAAAAACAATAATAATAACAAGCAAATTTTCAATAATAATAATAATAATAATAATAATAACAACAAAGCAAAATTTCAATAAAATAATAATAACAATAATAAAAAATGAAAATGATAATAAAAATGATAATAATAGCAACAAATGTAATTTTAATAATAATAATAATAATAATATATAACCATAACAACAATAATAAAGATTACTTCTACAGCGCCTGGTCGTTGGTACTCCACATTAAAATAAGGTTCATGCATACTGGCCCATTTAACATACAACAATTCTTTCGAATACATATACACTCGTAATCCAACAAAGAACACAGCATGTTGAGTATGGAACATAACAAGATTATCGTCCTTCCCTGTTTTAAGGGAGCTACCTCCCGTCACTTAAGGGCATGCGTAGTGGCGGCTAGTGGGGTGAGTAATAAAGTTCCGTTGCTGTCCGAGATACGGGTGGTGAGCAGTTATTCTTGTGATCGTGTCAGTTAGTGAAGTGTTCTGGATTAAAGTGAACCCAAAGTAGACAAACACAACATACACAAAAAGGCAATCACTGATTTCATGTTTTTCATGCTGCAATCACATCTGTCCTGACTCATGTTACCATGATTTCTATTTAATAAGTTACTTGGAAATTTGCCTATGTACACGCACATTTACAACATTTTACTATAAGGTGGCAGACCATCGTTGAAGAAGTCAATTGATTTTCTGCTAAATATGACTTCACAAATATCATAGCACAAAGCACATTGATGATGTGTGTGTGCGTAGGTATGAAAAATAAGTCTGATTTGTGAGAATAACTGTGATCAGTAGCTTCAGTGTCCTTCCAAATAATTCATGAACGCCACATGCACTATCAGTGTAACTTAAGACATGAAATGAAATAAACTTTTACAGCACAAACAATTTTCCACTGCTGGGACAGAACATTGTCTAAGTTGTTTATCCAAATAAAATGTTTTGTTTTCATAGTTTCTAAGGTAGAGGATTCGGTTCTCCCTGCTACACCCCCAGGATTACTCTAAGATTATCAAGCAGGAAAGGAAACATATTGAACCTAATAAAGATTCAAACCCCTAGTTTCTCGGTGATGATGAGGTATGAAACAAACTGAAAACAACTCATACAAAACCAAACCAGCAATGGAAACCTGTAAACTAGGCGTGCCTGCCAGCAATTTCAGTACGTAGCATAAGTTGACCCAGTAATTGATAATGAATGCGCCCCCAGTGAGTTAATAATTTATAAAATCAAAACTGCCAATCTTTAAAAAAAAATAAAAATCAATAGCTTCCTGGCCCAGCTGGAATAAATAAATCTCATACTTTATTTCACAAAATGCCCTAGAGTAACAAATATTTATATGCTATAGCGCCAGTTTTAGTCACACTTTTGAGAGCATGAATATTTCAGCCGAATTCATACGACTTTCTCCTGCTGTGTTCAGTGAGATATTTGGAATTGCTTGTTTTTTTAACCTCCGGGGGGAAAAACCTACTATGCCGTGGCCCTCTCTAGGTAAAAAATCTAAAACTGGTCCTTAAATGAATACAAATAAACATATTTTGACAGTTCTACATCTAATAAAAAAGCTTCCAGTAAAAGAGACCGGTTTTCGTCAATTATCAAAAACTAATTTGTCATCGAAGTTATCGTAAAGGAATGCACTCGAGCTGCTGCCAGCAGCTCATTGGCACAGCGGTTGCAATCACGAGCCGCTGGGAGCAGCTTGTCAGAGATAAGGAGTTAATCCAACCCACGACTTGGACACGTTTGCCGTTGTTGCAAACCCTGTCAGCTCACCCGGCTTGGCAGACAGGGGGTCATTCTGGAACATGGAAAGTGCCTCGCGGGTCGTTGGGTATCTTTTGGTACAGAAGTATTCTTTCCTCTCCATCTCCGTCACTTCTTTTTTTTTTTTCTTTATAGGTGGAGTCCTTGATGCGTCCTCTGATGTACCACTTTGACTTTTCTCCTCGGGTGATTGCTGCTTAGAAGATGTTGATGGTCCCTGAAAACAAAACACCATATAGTTTCAATTTAATTAAAAAACAAATTATCCCAATCCCGGTCACAATGCCCTGTCCTTTGAGAGACAGGAGGAAATGATGCACCTGTGGGCAAGAAGGACATCAGGAGCACCAGTCTACAATTCATGAATGAGTTGTTGTAAATATTCTATGCCCGTATCAACATATTTTAAATCATACAGGAGGCGAATAGTTTCGGCCAGATCAGGAAAATCAAGGCTACCAAGGATACATCACAGAAGGACAGAAACACTTTTAGAAAACCTCTTTCACACATGGGAACTGAACCCATGTCCATTACATGCAAGGCAAAAAGGCTAACCACTGCGCCACCGACACAAACGAGCCACTCTTCCACTTTAAAAAAACTCTAGATTTCAGTCAGAGCCCAGTACCAAGAAAAAGTCACAAAAAAGTCACCAAAAAAAAGTCAAATTCTTTACCAAAGTAATGAAGTGTGAACAATCAGTCTTTTCTCTCTCTTAAAAACTTACTTACTTACTTTACTTTTTCCAGCCTCAGTTAGCTTATGGTGTCGAAGGGAGAAGCAAATGTCTTCCTCTTGTTTGTTTTATTGCTTGTTGCAGGGCTATATTGTTTTTTTCTAGTTTTTCTCTGATCCCCTTTATCCATCTCTTTTCCTGGGACTGCCTCTTCCTCTGATCTCCAGTTGCATTCTCTCGCTGCCAAGCTGTCTGGTGGTATTCTTGACAAACGTCTAAAATGTTTCAGACTTTGGTTATTTGTGTATAGCAAGCAGGGAGTTGAGCCAACTTGTTCTTTGACAACCCTGTTTCTCACCCAGCCTCTCCGTAAGTTCTTGTGATGTTCATATTTTTCCTTTAGTATCTAATTTCACATGTGCTGATTTTACTTTGGTGACACTTATCCATGTTTGAGCTTGGTAGCACAGTGTTGGTATAAAGATGTTCTTAATTAGTTGGCATTTTGTTTCCATTGTGACGATAGGATGTGAAAGTAATGCTGCCAGTTGGGAAGTCACAGCATTCGCCTTTTTTATTTCTCCATCTATCTTTCCATCTTGAGTGATCACATTCCCTAGATATTTGAAATCTTCTACATGCTTGATTTTGCTGTCGACGTTTAGTGAGTCTGGTATTTCAAAGCAGAATCAAGCAAGAGATTTTTTTCACACCCCTGACAACACCAGCTCATCTGTTGTTGACAGTAGCAGCAGCAGCAGCAATGGTGGTTATGGTGGTGGTGGTGGTGGTGGTGGTAGTAGTAGGAGTAGGAGTAGTAGGAGTAGGAGTAGGAGTATTGGTGGTGGCGGTAGCAGTAGGAGGAGAAGGAGCAACAGTCGCATTTTCCCCCCTTCATTTTCAGCCAGTGAATGATTACTTTTGTCTCTTTTTATCTCTGTCACTGGCAGAATATTTCATTAATTATCATCCATGTTTTCAAGAGAGCACAACCGAGGCAATGAAAATCAGCAAAACACCAGACCCCAGACCCACTTAACAACACAGAAGATATTGCACATGTACGTCCCACTAATCATCAGCTGGCTCTAATTCTTCAGTATGGAGATTTAGCAACAAGCATACCATGGATTTGTATTTCTGAAAAAAACAAAAACAATGCGAATATCGGTACAAAATTTGCTAACATTAGTTTACGGTTAGGCTCACAAGCAATAGATAAACACAGGTCTAGTTTTGCAGACTTGCAAGTCTTTCAAAATTATGGGTAAAATGGTGAATATAAGTTAATAAGGAACAAGGAAAGTGAGTAAAGGGACACTATCGAAGACCAATGGTCTGAATATGTCACGAGCAGGGTAGATCTAGAAGCAAGTCCACTGAAATTGAAACATGAGACTGCTGTCCTGGCTTACAAGCTGAGCTAAAAATCAGTGCTGACAATAGGAATGCACAACCCCTGGCAAAGAAGAGATTAAAAGATTAAAGAGTGAGCAATATTGAAAAAAGTGAAAAGCAGAGCATGTGAATAAAAATGTGTAACTAACGGAAAAGTGTAAACACATTACAAAAAAAAAAGAAAGACACATACCACTTTATAAAATGGTAAATCAGCCACTTCTTTCACTTTCCCCAAAAGGTCAGCCAGGGGCCGGTCAAACGCATCAACAGGGTCATCATCCGGCTTGTAATGTCGGACACCGGATGTGTGGTTAAGTAACTGTCGAACTGTGATAGTCACCTGCCTCGTGGAAAAAATATCTTTATTCAATTCTTTCAAAAGGCACACAAGAAAAAGAAAACAAAAAAAGGCCAGTTTCTTCAAGGTTTTTAGGTAAAATTTTGTAAGTAGCACATATAAATATATATATATATATATATATATATATATATATATGTGAGGCGTGCTGACAAAATGAGTTACTTCTCACTATCCACAAATGCAGATATTGGCCAAAAATCGACACTGGGGACAAATTTCTAGGTTTTCTATTGATGCAATATTCATTAAGCACCAACCGCCTTTTGTTATTTCATACTTGCAAATTGTAAAAACTTAATCTATAAGCATGATAATGTATCTATTTTCATAGTGCTCAAATCCGAGAAGTAACTCATTTTGTCAGCACGCTTCACATATATATATATATATATATATATATATATATATATATATATATATATATATTTAAAAAAACCCATTTGCCACACTCTAAATAGTCCTCAGCATAAACCCACCAAAGTGCAATTTCTGTGAGACTTTTTAGCAGAGGACTTACACCAACACCCCCTCCCCTCCCTAAATCACCCCCAAGAAAAAATTTTACTTGTCAGATAAACGAAAAATGCTATCTAAACAATTATCGATATTTGAGCAGCTCTCTCCAAACTGAAAACCAGATTAAACCGATTAAAGTTCAGCTGTCCTGCAGGTTTCCGTATAATCAGACTTCACTGTTGTCCTTTGTCCTTTAATACCTCACTCACTCCTGTTTGAACTTCTTACTGGCCCCAACATGCTATCGAGTTTTCTTAATGGATTGCCAAAAGTAATGAAAGCAAAAACAGAACCCATCCTCAAGCTGATGCTATGCTGGATTGAGGCCTGCACGCTCCGCAACTATAACTCAATAACCTGCATTTCTTGTCTGTAGCTGTTTTAACATGGATGTTTTCAATAAAAACCTAAAGTTCAAATGATACAAAGTTATAATAGCTTCACTGAAAAGACCTGAGTGTCAGGCGGTTCATTGCAAAGACAGAGAGGAACGAGCATTTGCTGTTTTCTAAATTTCCTAAGCTCTATATCCATTTTGTTACTTCTTGCATTCCCTATCCTGTGGTGAAGAAACCGGGTAAAAAGAATGGAAGGTCCCGATTTTGGTGCCGATATTTGTAAGTTACGTAAAGATGTGCCATCACAGTACAAATGATCATACTTCAAGAAAAACAAAAGAAAAGGGAGAATTGTTTGGTCTGTGATGATGATGATGATGATGATGATGATGATGATGATGATGATGATGATGATGATGATGATGATGATGACTACGAAGATGATGAAATGCTGGATACGATGTGCAAGTTAATCTTGGAGTTAATTTATTTCTCCACATGGCGCTTACTCTAGAACCCCCCAGGCTTTCCAGGGGGGCAGGACACAACCTTATTCCCAACTCCTCCCAGAATTTGGAAATAAGTTGTCATCAGGAAAGTCATCAGGAACTTGAACTACAATGGAACTCGGATTCAATGAGGTCGCCGGGCCTGACCTAAAATCTCGTTGAATCCAAGTGTTTGTTATAGCAAACATGAGGTTTTTGTGTAGATAATTACAAGCACTGAGTAAGTAATGTAAAAAGGGAAGCAACAAGGGGTGCCTGAAATGCTGGCATAAAGACAGATTCATTCAAATGCACGCCCATGTCATCTCGATTGCGTGCCAAAAGGTCGTGTTACCGTGTATCGGTCCTAGCATACGGCAACTTTTGGTTGCATAAACCAGTGCACAATTCATTGCCTAGATCTATGTCAACACTAGCTTATCGTTGTAATAATGATTAGTTGCCTGGGGGCGGGGGGAGACCGTGACGCGTTTGTATCTGCGACGTTCCACACATGGACCGCTGGTGCCCCCCCCCCCCTCCCCCCGACACGCACCCACAGCCACACATGTGCAGGTCATCCATCTGACCCTGACACACGCTAAAATAGACATGTGCGTGTGCCAACAACGCATGTGTTGGTATGAAATAAGTCTGCTGATTGGTCGCATTCAATCGGTTAAGCGAATAATGGTTCATGATGCAGGTGCAATGGATGGTTTCCGGGAATAGATAAAGTTTGTTGTGGGAAAAAAATGAGAGAAGCCACCTCTGCGGGGGTTGTTCACCCTGGAAGCGACCTCGTTGAATCCGAGCTTGCTGATTTAAGTGCTCGTTAAATCAGGGTTATTTTTATTGATTTTAAAGAAGGAAAAAAAAACCGGGGGATTCAACGAGAGGAGATGGATTCCCCGTTTTTTTTCTCCATCTCCTCTCATTGAATCCAAGTTCTCGTTGAATCCGAGTTCTCGTTAAATCCGAGCTCATTAAATCTGAGTTCCACTGTATTTGTTTGCTTTGGAGATTGAAGCAAGTTATACCTTGAGTATGGGGGGTGGAGAAGAGGGGGAGGGGGCTTGAGTAGAAGCTCACGAATGACTATAAGCACGTCCAAGCACAGTGTGTCAAAGCAGAGGATACTGTACCTTTTCTCCCATGAACTCTTTCTCCGGGAATTCTGGGACATAATGCTGTACAGGCTTGTCCAGATCCAGCTGCCCTTTCTCCACAAGCTTTCCCACTATAGTAGCTGTCACAGCTTTACTGATGCTGGCGATGCGCATCACCGAGTTTGGCCTCATCGGGGTATGGTTTTCCAAATCGGCAAAGCCAAATCCTGAAATTGCGATGGCATCAGGATAGTGGAAGTTTATCACATACGGGAAAACCAGTGATATAATATTCACTATCAGAGCTGTTTAGGTTGGAAATAATTATACATTTTTTATGTCCCGATCGACACCATTCGCACAATTTATATGACTTCAGGGGCTACCTGTTTTAACCCATTGTTGACTAAGGCCTTTGACAGAAAGCTGCTCCCCAAGAACTGGGCATTTTACCTGTTCTCCAGCAAATCGACCTGCAAACTTGGGTAGCCTCCGAAAAACACTTGTAGCTCTGTTATTTAAGGATTGAACCCTCATAGAGTATCCAACCTATCAGGGTCATCTTGGGCTGAGCTGGTTTCAGCATTCCAGATAACAGCATGAGAAAGTCGATAGAACAACTTTCTCACAGAGGAATTAAGTCTGTCGCAGTTTGCAATGTTGGCGAACAGAGACAATCCATTACATCACAGATAGTGGTATTTAGAGTTCTGCAAAAATGAAAATCTGCAGCAGACAGGAAAAACAAATGGAAACAAAAGAAGTTGGACCAAAGAAGAACACTCATCAAAAGATGCAAAAATGACATGAACGTAGTTCTGCTAGCTTGGGAAAAGACAGAAATCAGAATATAAGGAATAAAAATATAAGACCTTTTAAGATCACCTGAAATAAGAAATTATATCAACGCTAAAAGATAAAATTAGGACCTACTATTGGCACCTTCCATTCACCCTCAGTGTGTTTACACATTATGTATTTTATGAGGAGTTTCCATAAAAAATTACTAGTCAAAACATAATCATAATCAAGAAAGAAAGCACAATGAGTGTCATGTATTTGCTTCTTCAATTAAAAAAATCTTTTTTCTCAAAACCCAAATTACCAATCATACCTTCATCTTTTCAGGCAAAAAGAATAAAGGGTTACTGTTCAATCATTCATTGACCAAATAACAAGCAAATATATAATCAAAATGTGTGACGAAAGCTTTCAGTCTTTAATGGTAAGATATGACATTATAACAAGGTATGACGAGTTGAAATACAGAAAATCCCTTAGTCTTATCATTCAGGGCAAAAGTGGAAGTTTATTGAAATTGTCAGGTCGCTTCCTTAAATCAATGGTTATCAAGAAGAGTCTCAAAAACTGCAAAAAGGAAATAGCACCAGTACCACTCAAACAAGCACGGCAGAGTTTTTGAAAAAGAGGTTAAAAATTTGGAAAATATAGCCTCAAGTCATTGATGATAGATCAATTGCCTCTAGTCCAAATATGCACAATGGTGGGCAATTGTCTTTGACACACACATGCACTGACCTTCTGCGTACACTTGTTGCCCATCAACGCTGACACACACTGCAATGCCAGGACTGCCCACCTCATCCTGAAATATTAGAAAAAGAGAGGCATAGGTCATTAAAGAAACTGTATAAAAAGAAACTGTAAAACAATCATGAAGATGGTAAATAAGAGACAGACAGTTATTTTGATATTCATTCCCTAAAGAAAAAAATGACAATGAAAATCCAGATGGTGACCATGAGCATGATGATGATGATGATGATGATGCTTTTTTATACATGTTCCTGACGAAGCTCTTTACAGGGCGAAACGTTAAACTTATATAAAATTTGAAAAATCTATTAAGTCTCAAACCCTTTTTTTATTCCCTGCTACCTACAATGATGATGATGATGATGATTATTATTATTATAATCATGATGATCATGATGATAGTGCTGATCTGCAAATAAAAAATAAGAAGAATCTACTTAACTATAAAATAAATGAGAACACATTATATGTTAGCCAAAACTTACATTAAAGCTTTTGGCTTTTGACTCAGAGCATTTTGGGGCTGCTAAAAAATTTGTCTTTTTAAAAATTAACTGCAGCCATGGGTGTAAATCAGGACTTGGATCACACTAATTAGTCCCACACTGAGTTCTCCCTTTGACCAATGACTACCCCTCCCTTCTCTCTCTCGCTCTCTATTTCTCTCTCCCTTCTGGCACTGTAACATCATAAGTGGTCAGCGACGCCGACAGCACATAGGAACTCAATAGGGGGCTACTCGTTCGGGGGTCCTTGAAAAGTGCTGAACGTGGGTCACTGAAATGTCCCATCCGACGTGTTTTGGCACGATAGATAGTTGATGGCACATTTCAGAAATACTACCCTCCCTTAGACTGTGAGTTACCATAGTAAGTCCATGAAATTACAGTTTCTAAAATGATCAGTTTAACACAAATTCTAATTTTTCTAAGATTCAATACAGAAGAAATAATCTTATTTCCTACTTACTTTTCTACGCAAACAAAGCTCTTGTGACTTTGCAATGGCTGCAGCCAAGGAAATTTTGCCCATTTCATTTTTGTGTGGTCCCACTTTCTTTTGGCCATTATCATTGTTGTCATTCACAAATCCAAGCCGAGTTTTCTTTAGACTGTCAGAATCTACAACAGCCCTGCTGCCTACTTTCTGGTTGAAGTCAGTATTTGATGAGCACCTGGCTACAAGTACACGTACTGGTTGTGCCCACTTAGATTTTTCATCACCATTATCATCTTTGACTTGTTGATGAATCCACGCTAGCAAACCGACCCCGGACAAAATTTGGATCCCAAGAAGACGTCTTTTAAATGAAGACTTTGACTTTGTTGAGTAACACCCCTCTGTCTGGTTTGGTTTCGTAGAAAAATATGGCTCACACCCATGCTTAGCTGAAAGGGGAGACAATACTCGGGAAAAAGGAAAACAGCATTTTCTAAGGTTATTTTTTATAGCGTTGAAAAACTTCCCATTTCTAACTAGAGCCATAGTAAGATAGATCTAGATCTAGTGGATAAGGAAGATTGTACAGATTTCAAACTCTGGGGTTCTAGATCTAGAATCAAGATTAGATCTATCCAAAGAAAAAATCTAATTCTTGTGACAGTAAAATATTGGCTTTTTTGTTTGCTTGTAAACAGCTTTTATCTGAATTGGAATCTTCAACAATCTGTGGTTAGTTCTTCAACTGAAAAAGATGAAGCCAATGAAAGCAAGCAAATTCAGCAGTGGTGAGTATAGGATAGGCCTCTCTTTGCGCTCTCTTTCCCCACTGCAGTTTGGAGGCCTATGGATGCCTTGATAGGCCCAGGTCAAGTCTGGATTCAAGTCCAAGAAGACTCGAAACCTTGATCCTAAAATCTGTGGGATATTTAAAAAGACAGAAAAGACGAGGTCTGGTGCCCTGGCAAATTGGTGCCAGTTTTACTTTTTCAGCGCAGGGGCAGAGGGTAGGCCTAAAGAAACATCATGAGACCGCTGACAACTGAAGAGCAGGAAAATAAAAAAGTAAACAAAGCAAGCAAGGGAACCTACTCTGAATTTGTTTTCTCATATTATTTGAAAAAGTAAAGTGACCTCCCTTGATTCCATTCACGAAAAATATTCACCATACATAGGTAGACTACAGGTACAATAATTATACTATTGCATCTGGGAAACCTCGAAATGATGCCGAACTTGGGAGGAGACCCACGGCTCCTTTAATATCATTAGAGGATATGACTAATCTGAGAAAGCTCAAGATCTGTTTCTCACCCTTTGACCTGGACTAATAAAGATCAACTCGTGCGGTACCTAGGCTATTATTACTATCCTGAAGACTGTGGTCATGGGCTCTGCTATGAACACAGATGAAAAGTTTGGGCCTTACACTTAATGTTGTGGATCAACGGTCGATCTACAGTGCCACCCCACCCCCACCTCTCTCT